TGATGTCAGAGTGGATTTAAATCCNGGTTGTACAGTACAATGTACAGTACGGCACAGTGTTCTACAGTACAATGCAGTACAGTACTGTACAGTATACTGTACTGTACTGTACAGTACACTGTACCAGCATTGACAGTACAATGTACGGTACGGACGGTACCGTAATTAATGATACTTGTACAGTACAGTAGGACACTACAAGACACCACAAGCAGCGTGTTCCATACACTACACTACAGTACCAGTCGACGTACCGTACGGTAGATCGCTTATCCATTGTAACGGCAAAGCTATTGTTGCGAAAATTTTCATTTGGACTGAAAGAAGAAAAACGACACTGACGTTGGTTACAGTTACCAGTACAACTTACTTAGAGCCATACGAAATGTCTGATAAAGTTCAGCAATCTTATGAGGTAAGAAAATACAAGCTATAGGTTAATTAATGATCCTCCTGCTAGTCAACCGATTGACTAATTCAAGGTTTCAACTTGCTATCACTTTTGTCAATGACTGTTGTTGCGTTAATGACGATTGAGACGGTGTAACGCTTCCAAATTGATTTCTTTGATTGTCAGTCTACAGTACTTTATATGGAGGCTTTTCCACAGAGAAAAAAAAATAGCGCCAGCAAATTCTATTTTGTTGAGTGTTCAACTTCCTACTTTATCCTAAACAACTTTGTTTCAAGATTGCTCCTTTCCACCTCAATTTCTTTACTGGAACGAGCTGTTTCACAAATTCCCTGTAACCTTAATAGTCTGCAGTGTCCAAATTCTCTTAGTCATGTACTGTAGAAGGCAGAGCGAATAGCCGCTTTCAACCACTTTGAAACAGTCAAATACAGCAGTTACAACGCTGACTTCCATACCAAGCGGTGAAATCGTTCACCACCAGAATATCCAGTACTGTAATAGAAGCCTCAAGTAGGACACAGCCTCATTCATCAGCTTTCAAATCAATGTAAAGTGCAAAATTAAGACAGTCATGAAAGAAGATCAATTCACCTACAATAGACCCTACTGCTTTCGCTAGTATTATACTGTACATGGAAAGAATAAATGCTCTCTTTCAATACTATATACTACCATTACAGTGCAAGACGATCCGTGCTAGCAATCATTAATAACAAATGTTGATATTTCCTTTCGCTGCTAGTCTGTGAAACACTCTGATCCAGATAGTATGGCAAATACTGAAGAATTTGTGGTACGGATACGTGGCCTACCTTGGTCAGCAACAGTTGAAGATGTTCAAAAATTTTTCACCGGTTGTCGCGTCAAAGAAGGAAGGCAAGGAATTCATTTCACTTACGCAAGTGACGGTAGAGCTAGTGGCGAGGCATACATTGAATTTGGCTCATTGGAGGATTTCAATAGGTGAAATGACACATCCATTTGCCCACTTTTGACCATGGACAGTAATGTAATATGGGAATAAAATAATCGAATGAAATACGATCGCAGTACAGTAGTATTACAGCTTTGTATGACTTTACCTATATCCATTCATTCAGTCTTGTATTTTTACAACTATGGAAGTAATTGTTTGAGAAAATTGAGAAAGTTCTAACGTGATTGCACCGTATGCGCAAGTTATTCTTGCATATGTAGCCGTAAAAGAAATGTCTTCGGAGTCGTCATGTTCTATCAGTGCTGATTGATTCTTTATACATGCAATAACTGCCAAATATTGTATTACTGTTGTTTCTACTGCTCACTTTCAATCACTCTGATACTATGAAATATGAAACTAATTAGGGCATTGGAGCGTAACCGATGTCATATGGGTAAACGGTATGTCGAAGTATTTAAATCGAAGCGAAGTGAAATGGATTACGTCGTCAAACGAACCAAACAACGTTCAGGTAGAGATTCTGAGAATGTTGTCCGACTACGTGGTTTGCCTTACGAGTGCTCCAAGGAAGAAATTGCTCAATTTTTCACTGGTAGGTACCACGGTAACTATTGCTATCATCGTCCAGCAATACTTACAACTGCGGCGTATAATGAATCTAGTCTTGCACCCTAATTTAGTAATTGTTAGTTCTCATCATTACAATTTTACTGTAAAATAGAAAGTCCTACTTACGTACTTTCTGATACGATTAAGAATAATAATGATGTGTTAATATACAATACGTCATCTCCTGTAATTAATAAATATTACAGTTATAATGTGTTTTCTTACCGCTAATTCTATATCTGCTAAATCTATAATCGTTAAGCCATTTATCTGTTTGCTTATGGACTAGACCATCGTGTAGATTCAATACTTTAATACGCTACTGAATTCATGTCAAACTGCGCTTTGGCTTCCGCTATGTGCTATTATAATGAAATCGTATAGAGTAGATACTTTATTAAAGTCCAATTCTTATCAGTTAAATTGTTTAATTAACTACAGTAATAAACATGAATTATGAATTTGCGATTGCATACTGTGCGATATGATGCATACTTCACTGGATTGTTTAGCTTATTATTAGCAAGGTAGTGTATACAGAAGAGAAAGATTTTTCTTTCATAACTATAAAGGGTAGTATCAATATAAACTTAACTTGGGACATTGTTGACACAAATGCATATCATATTACTAAGCTGATGCTCCGACTAATGAGACATTGTTTGGATTTAAATTCTTGTTAAGATATTTTAATCGAAATGCACATTATAGTAGTTGCAATACGATACTATATATATATATATATAGTATATGTAGCATAAAGTAGTTCATTTAATTTATATTAACAGCAATTGTAATTTTGTAGGTTACGAAATTATCCCCAATGGTATTACTTTTGGCGTTGATAGAGATGGGCGTAGTACTGGAGAAGCTTATGTAGAATTTGCCAATACTGATGTTTCTGAACGAGCATTGTCTAAAGATAAAGAAACAATTGGCCATAGGTAATATGAACGGTGGCATGTTATTATTATGTACTTTGAGTTATAATAGCTAGTTGTACCTATGACTGTGTAAGTGCTCTACTAGGATAGTGAAGAGTGGACGAATAAAGTAGATAGCATCATATTGTCTAGTGATTCAAATTTATAATCTTTCCAATTTTTACAGATATATTGAAATTTTTCGAGCGAAAAAATCAGACATACATAATATGAGTGCACCAAAGATTAGACCTCTAATCGGTAGTGCTGCTAGTTCACGCCCAAGGCCATACGATAGAAAACGTGGGGATCGGTTTACTCGCGGCCATCCTGAGGATAGATACAATCAAGGACGTGGCTACAACAGAGGTTACCTTGATAATCGACCGAGCGATCATCCTGGTTATGGTAGACCGCATTCAGAGTACAATTATGACAGGGATAGAGAAGAATTTAGAGATGCAGCCTACAACCCTTACAGTGAAGAGCCGTATGCTAGATCCAGTAATTGGAATATAGTTGAGCCAGATAGACCTCCAGACTTTGAACCAAATGTTCACTCAATTCGAATGAGAGGGCTACCCTTTAAGGTGACAGAAAACGAAATTGTAGACTTTTTTGACCAAATCCCTCTGCAAAATATTCATATCGAGTATGGTGATGGGGGTAAAGCAACGGGAGAGGCTGTTGTCGAATTTTATAATTACGAAGATGCTTTGGAAGCAATGAATAAAGATCGACGCAGGATTAGTAAGTTGGCGAATGACTGCGCGGACACGCAGTGTAAAAGGAAATTTTTGAATAATATTCGATAGATCAAGCTGATGTATTTGTGTTTATGTACTATATTTCTTATAGAACATCGATACATTGAATTATTTTTAAATACAACTCCGGAATCTGAAGGGAATATGCATCCTAGGGAAAATCAAAGGGATTATCCTGCTTATGATTACCCACAGGAAAGGGAATTTGATGAAGACATTCATGGGGATAGTAATTATAGTAAAGGTGCGAAATGGGTAGATACTGCACGGGAAGATTCACAGTCTAGATCGTATACAAGGGGGAGAGAATATACGGGAGCGGATTATGGGAAGGATTATGAAACATACGACATGTGGTATGGAGACGGAGGAAGTAGTAAATCAAATCGAATGCAAGAAGAACGATACGGAGACGCAGTCAGAATAGGTAAAAAAGAGCAATTTCCATACAACGAGGATCCGATTCCGGGCAGCAAGGGCAGTAATTATGAAGAGCCTAGTAGATCAATCTACCATGCTTACGGCGAAGAAAGATTAAATACGAGGGTCAACAATAGTGCAATTCCGAAATCTGTTAGTAGACCAACACAAGAAGCTTATGAATCAGGGTATTCTAGTACTCGACAAACGCCCACAGTTAATCCTCAGCAGCAGAATATTAGCTTAAGTATGCATAATACATCGGGCACGGGAGGTAGGTAGCGTATTATAATCTAAGTAAAACCTCGGTTATTCGCATGTTAAATTTTGTAAACCTTTTTATATTACGACTGTAAGTTCATGTTAGCAGTAGTCTTTGCTAATTAACTTTTAAGGGAAATGCGTATATGTACATCTGTAGAGTTAACTGTTGCCTAAGTTGCTAAATATCCTACAACAAGGCTATTACTATATTTAACGAACGTGTTATAGTGTTTTAGCGGGATTAGTTTCATAAATATTGCCATGATATTTTAATCCATAGGGAATCGGATGCCCGCTGGTGGGTATCAATACAGCGATGATAGAAATCCTAGAACGACCGAAATGACAGGTTCTTATGATTAATTACTCTATTTATTGAAGTAGATTACGGGTAGCTTAAGTATTTGTTTATATTGACGAGATTGTAGCAGCAAAAAGTGTATACGTATTGGTAAACAAATAGTAGATCGCTATTGATGATCGAAGCCATACATCCAAAGTCTGGTAATATTAAGCCATATAACGATAAATATTTCTTTCATATTTATATTGCATAGTTTCAACAGTTGGCTACAGTCAAGATCAGATGAGGTCTGCTTCTAGTAGTACGGTAGTAACCCGTACCGCACCTAATGTTACTAGTCAAAGTAATAAACAGCTGCAAAGAAGTACGAATCCATCATCAAGGTATCCTAACGCCAGCGCTGGATATGGTAGTTACCTGGACAGTCCTGACGCTGTAAATATGTCAGCAGGGAACCGTTATTCTAGTAACATGGGGCAGCCGAGAGCCAACACTTCTTACAGCAGTAACTACGGTCGTTATTGATTCTTACACTTGATATTGCAATAGTCCCATGATCTTACAACATCACAGCATTCGTATCTTGGGTACAGAAAAGAATAATTTCAATACCATTGATATCTTTTAAAAAGAGTTATGATTGCATTTGTATGAGAAGGGCTTACCTGTATAAATAATTTCGTTCCTCCTACTGGATATGACCACTCTAGTTGAAATAGTAAAGTTAACCCTGGCCCGGATGGATTTTATGACTAGTTACGTAGATAATTTGTAGTGAACATCGTAATCATGTCTGCAATTATAATTATTTTAACTGCAAGTTCTTCTAATTGTGGCTTCGAATGGAAGTTGAACTCTATTATTATCATCATCATGATAAGTGAAATTAAATTGGCTACCTGTCGTTGACTATAAAGTTAAAATGAATCATCTTAGTGGCAATTCAACTTATCGCTGCTACATGATGGCATTGGTATTAAGATAGACACTCTTAAAAATTGATACATTATTGAGTTTTAAAATTTTACCAATATAGGTACTACATAGTAAGATAGATAAGTCAAGTAGTACAACGTATCCTGTAAGTTATGATGTATAGGCTATTTATCGTTTTCCTGGTATGTGATATTACCCTACTTCCTAGTAAGTATTGAGTTGCAGAAGAGCACAGGATTAACGTGTACATATTAATATTTGTTAATTGTATCTCATCAGTTTGATGGGCTATGGAGTAGTATAGAACTCTAGGAATTTTCGTAATTATTACGTTTTGTAAGGATTAAACTCCTATCATGCTGAATTCTATATCACCTTCCCCGTATCTTAAATATTTTGTGCCCTATTTCGAAATGGTCGCTGTTGAAATTAATCACATTAAAGACATGAAGGTTGAAAAAGTTAAGATATTGGTATTCGGTGTTGCGTTTGAGTTACTTTTTTTAAAGTTAGAGATGAAAAGTAATGGTTAGCCTAAATGGATAACTTTTATAAAAAGTGTGGGATCTGTGTGTGTACAGTTTTAAGACATTATAGTTACTCTGAAACATACTCGTATTGGTGCATAGTAACTAAAATTGAGAATGTTAAGTATGTTTCAGTAGTTTTAGTAATAATGCGTATGAGTACCTATTAATGTATGGACTGGTCGGACGAATAATGTGGTAACACATGCATATGAGCGTAAATATTGAAGTGCTTTATGATTATGCGATCTCTAGCGAACTTCATCAATGTTTGCGTATTTGTGGATAGGACGACTACGTTAAAATTTTGAGAATGCTTAAATTTGCTTTAAATATTACATCATTAAGTTACAATGGGGTATGCCGGTTATTGCATGACTGACAGAAATGATCAGTAAGACCTGAAACTACCGATAATGATATCTGTATTTGGATTATGCGTTAGCAATAGATTTTCGACTGTGAAAGTTCAAATACTAGGAGAGCATTGGTCTAGCATTACAATACAATTATAGGCATTCTGGTAAGGGATGTAAGTCTCTCAAAGTTCTACAAGTATATGCAGAGTGAGAGTTGATGATACTGCTTAAGAGGCATGTACGTAAATATAGATTGCAGGAATTGCTACTACAGATAGTACAACTATTTAGTGATATAAATAATTTGTGAAGGTAAACAGATCTATCGGTACAATACCGGTAATTGTTGACAATTTTATTGAAGGTCAAAAAGACATTTACAGTAAGCCGAATCGACGTAAATTGCAAGATAATATGATCGATTGCTAAGAAGGGTATTAGAGTAGCGTTTGTACGTAATGAAAATATTTATACAATAGTGATGCTAAAACAGTATCAATCAGGCTGACATTAGCATAAAGTCATTTTAATTTTTGAAACTATAACTTCGTAAAGTCAGTTTTTAAAATCTTGACAATGAAAAACAGTATTATCCCAAAAGATTGGTATGATTTTTTTATCAACGATATCATACCATCTTCTTCGTTACTATATGAAGTATTATAAAAAATCAGGCTAGTTCTTCAAAGACGCTGCAGCTACGTGAAAAAATAACTTCGCAACGACAGTAAGTAATATACGTTAATAAGAAGGAAAGATATCGGTGAAGCAATCAAATTAAGTAAAACAAGACCTTATCATTTGAAAATACAAAAACGATCATAGGTCAAAGTACACAATTACTATACATACATGCATAGATAATGATCGATTAGATCTGCACTTCCCTTTTTAAACTACGGTTATAAAATGCAGCTAAATACGGTGCTTGATGAAGCAATTAGGCTTGCAACATGTGCATACTTCATAATATAATAGATAAGTCATGAATAATAATGATCTAACCGTTCCGTTATGACCAAAAGCCAATCGCTAGGCTAGTTGCTATCACGTGTTCAGATCGCGAAGAATTGGATAATTGTTATCTTGGTCTGTTGCCATAAAATAATTTTGGCTTATTTTATATATCTATTCTAACGTAAACAGAATCTCAACAACTCCAACAGCATGTGCCAGTATACATATCGATTGTTGTATTATAACAATTCCCATATTTAGATTGAATATGAAAGCATACAAGTCCATATAATCAACGAAGACAGTTAAAAGATTGTAGTCACCAGATGGGCGTGCGACAACAGGTGCACACGACTAAATGCCAACACAACTCACATTTAGCAACGGATAATTTCTCTTTTAATTCGAAGAGAACTTTTTCTATCTCCCGTTATCGTAACGAAATATTATATGGAAATGAAGGGTGATCATTATAGCCAGGTAGTAACATGATGAATTTGAAGGCAGTATTCAATACAGTTAATGATTTACATGGAGTACGAAGCGTTATCGCCAAATAATGATCATCACCATGGATAGCATATCGATACTAATGATAAATGATGATCGAAACATGTTTATCTTCACTAATTGAGCAAAGTATGGAAAGAACTTATAATGACTTAAATCGTATTAACGGACGGTATTGATAAAATTTGGATAATCTTATCTGTGACCGACGTAATTAAAATATTGTATATAAATTTAATGATAACACAATACATAATTGTATGATTTACGCATGAATGCCGACATGTTTAGTGAATTGAAGGATAAAAAAAGTATAGAAAGTAATTGTTAGAGACTTCTTACTGATTTTAGTAGTGGAAACATATCAAGCATACGTAGTGTTAAAATGATTTCATATAAAGCATTAACATGTAGATCTACTAAATTTAAAAAGTTAATTTGGCTTACATTGAAGAAAAAATGGACGTTATGATAATGTATGAGTAGGCTATATTCAATGTACAGTAATGCTAGTTATAAAGAATAGCTGTAAATATTAAAATAATTCAATCTGTTACCTATAACATATAATTCATTGTTTTTACCATTATTGTTCGATGGCGACATACCTAACGCATCAATGGATAATAATAGCATAGTTTGCTATTGCTATTCAAGCGGTAATCATGTTGACAAATTGTGGCAACAAATGTTTGATCACTGGAAGGCTACAAATAAGCCTGCCGATGATAGCTATTCTACATTTTCTATCTTGCACGTTGCAGAAAAATTACTAACAAGCTTAAAAGGAATAGGATTGATCATCATGTCTACAAAGAGAAGAGATAAAATGGTAAAGTAGCTAAAGTATTTCATCCAACCAGTCATGATTACTTATGGCATGTAATAAGAGAATCTTAGCTATTTGATTCTATTATTCAATTTCATAGTTAGCCTATCAAGACTTAAGTCAGATGCAAAATTGATAATTTAATGTTTCCAAATATTTAATCTCGTCATGCATCCTACTTTAAGATTTCACTTAGAAATCTTGTTTATGTAATAGCTGACAATCTATCTATATATTGACAAATTCTAACATTTCGATGATATTTATAAGTATTTACTGTACCTACATACATTGAAACAGAAATTGATTAATTATCTCACGAGAATCACCTAAATTAGCAATTCCTTTTCTATATCTACTTATGTGATGAACCAGGAACAAGCTCAAACATCCCACAAAATTATTGAAAAACGCCGACGAGATAGGATAAACAATTGTCTTGCTGAATTAAGTCAAGCAGTACCGCCAGCATTTGCAAGTAAAGTAAGTCTAAGTACATTAAGTAAAATTCTATCTCACAGTGTCATTAGATTACTATCTTTCCTTAATACCTACTATTTGTTAATCTTCTATTTCTATATTAGTAATTAGTTTGATGAAAGGAAATATACTCTCTCTCTTGTTCATTTACTTTTAGTTTTTACCATTTTGATTCAAATATTCGATCTTAAATGAGTAATGCTCAAAATACTATTTTATATATAGACATCAGGAAAATTGGAAAAAGCTGAAATATTAGAAATGACAGTTCACTACTTGCGAGTTCTACATGCTTATGGCATTCGCTTAGATAGTCCAGGTACCTTAATTATAGCATTGTAGCTTTAAGGCCTTACTAATAGCCGAAATTCGCAACAAAAACACTAAAAATCATTGATAATATAATTGATCAATAATAAAAAGTAACGATAATTTTATTAACTTTTATATTTAATCTGGATGCATAGCTGATCAACCCATCATGCTGCATAATTCGCCGGAAGTTCAGTACGAGATGTTACATCAACATTACAGAAATGGTTATTCCGATTGTATACGTGAAATATTACAATATTTTATCGATGTTGAAGGGACAAGTCCTCAAGATCAGCGATGCAATCAGATATTCAGCTATCTTCAGGTATTGAACATGGATGATTATCAATCAACAACAATAAAAATTTGTGTTTGACTAGACTTATCCTATGCCATAACAATGCGATTTTTTGGTATCCATATAAGACCTTATAGTATACAATTTTCGAAAATATTTTAAAATGTTTCTATGTCATTTTTTAGGCTCGAATCAATAAAGGACTGCATCAATCGTATGATGAATCATCGGCATCCTATCATCGCGGGCAATCTAATGTTAGCAATGGCGGCAACGCTAGTAATAATGCTAACAGTATTAGTAATAGCAACCACAATAACAATCCCAATGGGAATTTAAATGGTAAAGATCGAAGAAATAAACCGTCTACTCAAGCTTTTCTACGATCACATTTAAATGCTAATACTAAAAGTAATCGAGAGACAATGCATTCTACTCCATCACCAGCTGATGTTAATAATGCTGGTTTACCTAATTTGCCGTTACAGCTACAACAGGCGAGTGTCTATCCGAATGTTTATCAAAATCATGGAGGCATTCAGTACGGTATGCATATGCCAACAAGTACATCAACGGGCTTGCTGCAAAATGCCTGCTGTCTACCATCATCGCACCCATCTTCTATTTCTAAAGCAGTTAATGATCAAAGCAATTCTCTACTACACGGCTCAATGTAAAATGCTAATATTGCATTCTATTGACGGAAAGATACCGGTAACAATTTCTATCAATAACGATTATTATATTGTTGTAAAAGGTATCTTTAATATTAATACAATCATTCTGTTATTGTAAACGTGGATAATTGATAATTCAACAAATCATTGATGAAAGCAGTAAATTCATCAGTTCTTACGTGCTATGAAAAATGACTTTCTCTAAGTACTGAGAATCTCAACGATTATTGATATAAATACCTAGATATTTCATTAGGCTTATGTAACATGAGTAAATTATTACTAGTTCTAGATCCTGGTTTAATTCATAATTGTTTATAATAAAGTAAGCAAATGGATTTATTTTATTGTATAGTAGTAGTGAGTTGTACTAATTGAAATCTAAATAATCTTCATGAATTTTAATATACCATGAAATGAATTTATTCTTTATTAATAGCTTGCGTTATAAATTCATTTTTTCACATTTTCAGATTGATATTGAATGTATCGGAAAATGTAATACAATTTGTCAAAACATTTCTTGTCTTAATTATGAATATAAATGTATTTAAGATATCATCTTCATATGTGCTCGACGAAGGATACAATAAAAAAAATTTAGTAAGATAAAATATTCGAAGAAATAGCTTAATGCTACCGATTCGAGATTAAAAGTACTTGTGTGACGATTTCGTAACGCAATTGTAACATACATGTAAAACTCAGATTACGAAAGTATGCAGTTTACTGTAAACACAATTGATGGCCTAAATTACTACAGTACACTCAGTGTCTTTATTTAAGGATGATATTATGTAATATGCCATCAAAAAATCGTTCTATTTTCTGTCTAAGCAAAATAAAGTGATTGCAATCTATGAATATCATCAATAAAAGAACTGCTATACTAGACTCTATAACTGTAGTAATATAATAGTAATCAAAGTAGTATGAAAATCTGATATATATTTACGTTGGCTTTATTAAATTACTTTTCTCTATAGAATTACTATCTAATTATTTCAGTCCGGCAAGAGGAATTTCAGCTAGATCAAAGATGCAAGAAAACATGTAGAATGATGCAGCGACATAAGTTAGGTAATAGGTCATTCTACTCATCGGATAGGGGATATGAACGGTCCTATAGAATTGAAATTTATGAACAATATAATTTCAACATTATGACTGAAAGCTGCTAGCCAACATAATATTTATAATATTAGGCAGTTTGCAATTAAGACTGATTTAGTAAAGAAAACTATTCAAAGTTAATGCTAATACCGGTAATATTCAATAGGACTTTATTAAATATAATGTTTCTGTATGATATTAGATTTAATTTAAGAAACTTACTTTAAAATTTCATGATGTTCAGCCGCATAAATCATTAAAGGTAAGAAAAATCCAGTTTGGATATTGAAACAGAAGGAGGAGAAAAAATTAAGAATTTTTATAAACGCCTAAAGGGAAATAGAACGATAGTCCAAGTTATACCGCACGTATCTTAAAACACTTTTTTGATTGACGTAATATTTTTAATCAAAAACCTTTACCTCTGGATTTGTTAGACTAACTAGAAATACGATTGTAAATACAATTGCTTCTACCAACTTCTGAATTAATCTGTTGATATTGAATAACAAAGACATATTTCTAACTTACATTGGGTTGTTGTATGAATAACACTAATACGAGTATAGCAGATGATATGCAAAATTTTAGGAACAGGTATATTAGTAAGAAAATATTTGGTGCTCAAGCACGTACATCCTAGGGGTTAAGAAGCTAAATCTAGGATTAGCTAAAAGTTGCTGTTTTTCTCGATTAATGAAGTATTGGTCAACTTTTTCGTACATTCGATGAAATAATCCGTTCACTAAGTTAAAAAATTACAATAAAAGTGAGTTAGATACTTAATTTTCCATTATAGTAAGAATTTTTTAAATATCTTTAGCAATATCCAATGCAGCATACGGCTACTATCAGTGAAAAAATTGCTAATCACGTAACAAATTTTTACTAAACAATCGATTTCTGCTCATTCTATTAACATCTATAACCGTTACCATATTTCTTGCAGTCCACTATTTAATAATGAAATAATACTAACGATAATAACGAAAGACAGTGATTTAACGTCTTAAAAACAACAAGATCTTGCTTAGTCAATTCCTATTTAAAGTACGGCATCATACGGTATCATATTGATAGCTACCAGTATTAGAGATGAAGAAATATCCTACCACAGTTGTAAAAATAAAAAAATGCCTTGGTACAAAGGCGGAATCAGTTGGCTGTACAATTTATTATTCTAGCCAATAAATTAAATTCAATAACGTTTCAAGTTACACACTGCAGTGTGATATTTGGCACACTTCAGATGTACAATACCTTAAGACTAATAAACTTATGATATATAGATGAAATTAATAGAGTAAATCATAGCATAAAAAATGGTTCAAAAAAGCAAACTAGCATTACAATTAAGTGACAATAATCCTTTAGGAATCTCAATTCATGTGAAAGGAGTTTAGGTTAATTATTTTATGATATCTTCTTTACATCTCTATTTAATAAATACGATATGAATTCAGTTATTTCAAGGATACAGTACAGTAATAATTACATTGCAATTACTAACTTGTTGTATCGCTACTGGCGTAACTTTGTCGTTAGATAATAGAAAGAATTTTTGCCGTGTTATTGGATAGAAAATTATGTTTTGCTAAAATCCAGCTGTTTTTAAAAATAAATGATCTTTATGATTTCGCCTTTTCTGATTTAAGAATATCCTTTGCTACTAAACAATACTTTACAGTTAAAATGTTTATAGAATGGCGTCTAAGTTGTTTTATTCTTCTATGTTAATAGGTGTTGGTTTATAGCATTAGTATGAATTAACCGTACAATAAAAGAAACATTATAATATTGTAAGTTAATAGATTTTAACTTAATTTAAATACCAAACGATAACGTAAATCTAATCACATTATGTTTAGGGTCATGAAGAGTAAATTACTCTTAATTAGTTTGAAAATGTTTGTAATTAGTGTCGACTGCCTTTAATTTAATTTTTTTGTTTGTTAGATATTAGAACGGTAGGAATTATTAGGAACCATATCGCATTTTACTTTTTCAATGGCTTATTTTTAGTTTTAGATCAGCAATCAAAAACTATCACTAATCGAAGAGTTAAATCTTTAGCCAGGTCTCCTTGAATTAAAAATATAAATTTTTAGTTTATGTGATGTGCCCATGAAATCATACGTAGTGAATGTTACTTTCTTGCATTCCATAACAAAATTGTTCTCTTATAACTAAATTACGCATATTTAACTGTTGAACCCTAATGGATTTCTGTATATAATATCTAAATATAATAGAGATTTAGATATGAGTACGCCAAGTATATTCAGCTATCGCACATAATTCATTGATGGCTAAGCACGACATATTCTAACTATAGTGTTTTACTTACAAATTTGTGTAGAATAGAAAACTATCATTAATATGCTTTCAGATATCAGTACCATAGTATATAAAATATTGATGCTCAGTATAAGAAAAAAAATTAAAAGAATATCATGGAGTAATCAAATCATAAAATTAATTAACAAGTAATCATTAAACTATGGCATGAGCCATTGGAGCTAAAATATAGCTTTTAAGCTTACCAAGATGAATTAGAGCTGACCCCATAGTTAAATATGAAACCGTAATGCTGATAGAAATAAATGATTCTGTTAACCAAGCCAACCAGTCATACTGAGGATAATGTTGCCGCAAAGTCTAAATTATCATAAAGAAAATCATTCAATACTTGTAACATATAGGAGAATAACATTATGACATCAATTACTTTGTATATTTGTGGCTGAAAGTAATTTCACTATCAACTACGAAATATTTCTCATTTCATAGATCTATAATACCAGTTGCAGTGTTAGGTACTTATGATGTAGTAACATATAATTATCTTCATGAAATTAACCTTGGTTAAGACCACAGTGGAAATTATTCCGTGTCGTCTTGCTCTAAAGATGAAGCAAATTTCCAATTATACTTTCATGGTAACAAAATTTAATAAATATTTTTAAATCCTGAATCTACAGCTATAAGTAAATATGATCTAGAGTGCGATATTAATGTATTAATCTTATAATTTTGCAGGTAAAGCAATCAGGATATATCTAAATTAGCTCGTGGACATATATACTAGACTGTAATTCAAAAGTTATATAATAGACCTTGCAAGAGAAACATTGCAAAAATGCTGGACTTCATCGATCGTTGCAAATGGAGAAACAGTAGCAGATACTTGCTCAGGACTTGGATGGCAAGTTTGTGGTACCACTCCAAGAACAGCATCAGACCTGATTAATATAAATTGATTATGTACATTTTAAACAAGATTGATTGATATTCTTGCCATGTACCATAGACATCTAAACACTAAAAATTGTCGTTGATTGTTAATTCATTAATTTGAAAATTGCCGTATACGAATTATGTTGAATCATATATTGATATTACTAGGAATTATAGCTAAACAAGAATTTTCATTTCGATTTTATGTTGAGATAAGGATAGTACTGGGTTAGTGTTCTTGATATTCATACCATAAAATATCGACTATAGCCACAGTTATTAACGCTGCATCGATAGCTAAAATAAAACGCTGTATCTATACTCATAGAGAGTAGAGTTCAGGCAGAAATAAGAATTTGAAGTCGTCAAGGAAAGCAACTAAATTGTAATTAGAAGTTAACTAATTTAGGTGACTTTTTACAACATACTTGAACAGGCTTGGCTTGTATCCTGTTATACATCATTGGCATAACATTAATGACTCCTCCTATAGAGTAAACAAAATAAACGATGAAGTAATGCTGTAATACAAAAATGATAAAAATGATAAAAGTACCAACATATGACGTCATAAAAACTAATAAAACATGTCATTATTTTTGATATTTTAAGGATACCCTAAATATCAGCGTTATGGGGTTATTCATTAGCTGAAGATATATCATATTTAGTTAATTTCTTAAATATCTTTTGTCTCCGTTAATTAAAGAAAATTCTGGCAAGTCGAAAATGAAGTACAATATCTAGTAATGCTATTAATTAATTACCAAAGGCCACCGTCGAAACTAGCAGAGGAGATCCGACGTAATCCCAATTAGTATTGGCTACTATATGCAGTTTTGATCCGACAACTAACGTTACAAATACCTGCGTAAAAATGAGGCACAAGAAAGAAAATTAGTCTATCCATTAAGAAATTGAAGGGATTATTGATAGCTCTATTCAATAAACTATAATTTCGGAGCTATATACAAAGGTTTGCGTCGTATCTATTCATGCTGCGATCTAATACCAACATTGCTTAGCATGTTAACCGTTATGGAGTATAAATTCTAAATTCTACAGAAAGCACCTATTCATGCTGCAATCTAATACCGATATTGCTTAATCTATTAATCGTTGTAGAATAGAAATTCTAAATTCTTAAGAAATTGCTCAGGAGAATAACTAGTACTTCCTCCAATTATTTCCAATATCTATCTTTAGCATTATCAAGATGTCTCTAAAGTTGCTTACCGTGACGAGTAACATGATACACTTGACGAAAGTTAGGACAGTCACAAATGGTTGGACCATAAACCAAAGGAAGAGGACAAATGCGGCCCAAAACCAAGTAAAAAATGGAATAATATTGACATAACTAGGGGAAATGAACAAAATTGGAAAAAAATAATACTTCATCTTGACGCCAAGGTATTAGTATTAAATATTAATCACCAACTAGACATGGACTACTAGGTGATAATTATAGTAGCGCAGAATTTTGCTATAACGTACTGGATATATGAATTTTCTATCGAATTACGATTTTTAAACGATAATTATATCAGTTACTAGTGACTATCTTTAATATCAAGATTATACTCTTGTATTAAAATTATTAAATTTAATCTGCTTACTTCGCTTGAATTAGCTGGCCATAAGCTTGGCTACCAGCGAGTACGTAGCTGATCAGAAGCGATGTCCTGAATATAAAATAAGTACGTGTTGAAATACTGCCAAGGAAACAGCATAAAACCTAGCCAGTTATTATCAACATTGATTATCATTATAAATGTATTTAATATTTTATTAATTAAGTAGCCTGCAATTATAGCTACAAAAGTATCGGTATTAAGCCAATTTGGAGCTACTGAAGTAATACAATTGTAGAAGTGTTCGAGAAAAATACTTACAACACCGCAATAGTCGTTAAATCGAAGATTTCTCTAACACCTGGCAGCAAAAATAGTTTCGAGATCATGTATAGGTTAACCTCTTCATCGGAACTATCTTCATTTTCTTCTAAATTCTTCCCATCATCAGTTAGAGGCTGTTCTAAATCGATTTCCTCCATGTTCACAGGCTGAGAAGGATCACTGTCATGACTGAACTTTCTGCCAGAATTTATCAACTTTTCCTTCTTTTCATTCTCATCGCCTTGTGTGCCTTCTTTCTCATCAAAAGCTGTAGTCTTTTCTTCGTCAGTATCACTGGCAATCTCTTGTAACGGCTTTAGCAACTGTCAATGTATTTAATTATATACTGTAGTCATTACCTTCCCGAACTAATTGCAACTAATTTATCTAACTATATGTGTATCAAAGCCATTTGTAATGACAGCGCTTGTCAATAGTAAAATAAGTAATAATATAAGAAATCTTTATAATCGGTACTTGATAAATTACCTGATGCCAATCTTTTCTTTTACAAATAACTTGCGCCTTCTGTAATAAATTCAGGAAGGCATGCATGGCAATTATCTTTAAAATAAAATAGAATTTATATTAAGTAAGATATTTATTTGAAGATACGATATCTATAGCTACGTGTAGTTTCTATGGCTACCGTACTAGTACTAGAATAGTGGAAAAAATTTTAATATCGAAACATGCGAGTAGAGAAGGTATTGGTACGACAGCTATATTGTGCCAGAAATATTATTATGCATGGTAATTTATAAATCGAGTGCCATTCACTAAGTAGTAAAGTAGGGATTAAGTTGCTTATTTTATACCTGTGATATACATGATAATGAAACATCAAAAATCAATGGGCCTAAGCCAGAATGGGATAAGGTGACTGGTAAACCTTGAATTGAAAATTATATTAAAAATATTTAATTGCTGCGATGCATTACTTGCAGATTAATTATTTCAAATTTATTAAAGGCCCAACTTATCCTGACTAACCTAACACACCAACCCCCATAATCGCGGCAATAACGATAAAGTCTGAAAGATAAATAAATTAACGTTATGGATGTTAGTCGTAAATATGTTCAGAATAGCCCAATTAAATATAGAAATTATAACATTTAAAATATTTAAGAAGCATGCACGCAAGGACATCGATGCAATACTTTACAAAATGGAGTTTAAACAGAAAATCGTTGACACAAATGTAGTGCCATTGAAACCCCAATTACTAATTAAATCACTACTTTTAATATTTATACTTCCGCGATAGTCAGTCCTACTTTGACTCTTTAGCTAGATAGCTTTAAAATGAATGAATTTATAGTTGATGCAGGTGATTGTGATCATTAGCTGTAGAGTTGACGATTGACTGTATAGTGTGCGCATGTATTTAGAGTAGTCTTGGATGTCAAGACTACCTTGGTTTAATAAACTATTTTAAAAGCCTAAGTCTAGTCTACACTTAGCCCGTTGGGGGCATATTTGGCTGTTGTAGCCTTAGTATTCGTACAGATTCAAAGACCCAGGTTTCCTTGTCGTGGGCTGAACACGACAGTGATGTAATTCTTAATTACTTAATTGATTATTGATAAATGACATGGAATCAATTACTTATATATAAAAATTGGATATTTAAATCTATGCATGTATTCGCCTGTTTCTGGCTTGGAGACAATTTCTATCATTGATACCCTCGACTCTTTATATAGCAGGTTAGTTTCCGAAATGATATCGCAAAAATAAAAAAATGTCAACCAAGTATGATAGTTCTGACAAGTTATAAGTATTATAAATTAATAGGAACTATACGGTAGCAAAGCGGCTTGTTTCACTTTCATAGGGTGAAATTTAGGGTAATCCCACTTAGATTCCATATCATATATATATACATCGGTGGTATAAGTACCTTTGCATTCAATACGGTTTAAATTTAGCTTATTAATAAGATAGTTAGAAGCCTAGTCAATGGATATGAATGGATATGAGCTAAAAGATTAGAAGTTATTAGTTATCTTATTTCATAAGTAAGATTAAGCCAATAATTTGAATGCATTTACTAAAAAACTAGGCCTCTTGCTTCTTATATGAAATAAGAAATCCTATGCATAGTCGATGCGGATGATTTTAATCAAAAATTCATGTGTTAAAGTATTTCCTGATCGTATTTACTGTTATCGTACCTCACTAATAATGCATAAGTAATCATAATTCTCAACTGCTAGAGATAATAAAGTAACATGATAGCATACAAGCTCCGTTTAACTTCCATAAGTAAAAATTTAAATTCAACTCGGATCAGTTTTTAAAAATTTTTATGGGTGTCAATCAGTGCAGTATATTTACATAGAATTTAGAAGAAATATCTCAAATTAGCGATCACTTAGGCATTCACAAGCCCTAATCTTAGATAGTAAGTGCATAAATGTTATATGACTTGATGAATAATATTGATCATTTAATCAGCTAATAAGGAGCACCAACGATAGCATAAAGATAAGGTCGAAAATCTTGGCTTAACTTAAAATTACTAATAAGAAATGACCGTGAATGAAGCGAAAAGGAATGATTCTAATCTGAAAATTAATGAAATTATTCATAGTACCGAGTGTATTTACTATAATCTCATCTTTTAAATAGTTTATATCAATCGTAAATAGTTCAGACCAATCGTAAATGTTTGAGTACTGCAAACTAATGATAACCAGATCATATAAAAACCTCTTGTAGTCTAAAAAAAAACAGGAATTAATGTTGCATATTTGAATTGGCGGATTTGTTTCTCAGAAGCATTAATGCAGATTCTACTGTATCAATAAGATGATTGTTAGTTCGGGATAAAATGCGAATTCTAGGTAAATTGTTGGACTAGAAGTTATTAATTAGTTATCCTAGTAATAAAGAATAATGATAATAATTAAAAATATTGATTCAAAAACTGGGGTTAACTTGTATTATGTAGAAAGCAAAACCACAATTACTGTACTACAGGTATATGATCATCCTTGATCGATAAAACTAACTGTATTAAATATTACTTTTTTATCATAAATACATCAAAATGATTGTAGTTCTAAAGTTATAGAAAGAACCGAATGAGCATGGTAGCATCGGAGCCTCGTTTTGATTTATTTCATTAAAAGTCAACCCTAAACATCTTGTATCAGCTGCTATAACACTTTTAACCATTAAAGTTAATACATGCTGTTGGGGTCCGATTTTTTACATTTAGATACTTACAAACTTGAAAGTAGATTGCAAATTCGTCAAAACTATAAGGCTCCATAATGGTTATCACTTATCCACGTAGAATGAATAGCAATACTTTAAATCTATCAGGTGGAAACTTGTCGTAAATTTTTGCCTAATGTAGACTATAGAATCGTTTATAAAGCAACTTTAATCTAAAATTACTATTGTAAAATACTGGCAGTTTTTAATATATCCTACGTTATAAATAGATTGGGTCAAGGTGAAAAAGATATTCATATAGAATAGGCAAAATCATTCTTATGGAATGACATCATTTCTTGCCTATTGTATGGAACAATGTAATAGATTCAATAATTGATCCATTTCCATATTGATATATTGATTGCATAAGGTATAGACAGTCTTTAAGTCATATTTTGCCCATATGTTTTTATTGTTATTCAGTCCATGAACTAGTAATAGCAGCGTCATGGATGATCGATTAATGGTGAATTACGTAGGCAAAAGACATTAAAACGTGTAGCTTTGACTTTAAGATTTCAAGCGTCTATGAATAATGATCGGCATAATTTAATGAATTATTTATAATAAGAATAATTTTGTAAACCGATTAACATCAATAATATATGCTGAGACTATTGATTTGGAAGAATTTTACTTCAAGGTTATCAAAGCCAACAAGTGGTAGATTACATGTTTTTCGATCGATTGTATAGTATAAGCTAACGAGAGAATAAGATCCCACATGTAATCATTTAGGTGATTACTTATAGGACAACCGAAGCATTCATGTGAAAATAAATTTTAAAGTAAGTATTATATGAGATAAAATAATTCATAAATCATGAGTAAAGATCATCTCAGAGAAAGAAAAGTTAACGAAATAGTAATTGCCAATCTATTGTAAATATTATCTTTATGTTTTTATTATATCATTTCTGCATGAAATTATGCTTAACTTCTCTCAATCTTTTCTTGTAATCCTAGACTGCATATATTTTCCTTGGAAACTATTTAATTTCGTGTCCATTTCATAAACATGGCCTAAAGTGAATTAGTACCAAAATTGTGATAAATACTGAGCTTCTATAATAAACTAGGAGAAAATAGCAGTTTTTATATAATACAATCCCAATAACTACGTAATGTTAAACCGTAAAAGTTGTAGACCATTTGCTAATACATAGACCTTTAGGAGCTACTACAGAGAGATTGGTAGGCAGAAATGATCAATTTATTGTTAAATACGTTATAAAACCAGCTGCTCAAAATTTTTCTAGTATTTCCAGCCGTCATATTGATAGCTATTCACGTTATAGCAAAATTTATCAATTAGTTTTGGATCTCAACAATAAATAAAATGAAATTTAACCTCAGCTAAGCTTTGAAACGGCTTATTTCATGAGAAGAACGGTTTGGGATCAAATATTACCTTAGTAACTTAAATTGTAAAATTATCTTCTAAGATATAGTAATATCATATTGCGATTTAGATTTAGTAATCTTATGCACATTTACAATCACCGCCTAATATCAACTGCAGTTAAGAATTCCTTTTTGCGAAAGCATATAAAATTATTAGAGAAGATATAGGAAATTAGTAACATAATTATTAGCTATAAATTACAGCATTGAGTCGAATTTCTAGTCAAAAAATGGTATGACATAATTGTTCGACTGAAAGAAACGATAAAAAACATAAATAGATCCTCACTCATTTATCATGATCAGAGTTTATGTTAGCATAGGAGAACTCGCCTTTTCTACTGCGACCTTCTCTTCAGAAGGTGCTTAAATAGCTGATAATAATCTCATAATAATCTTTCGGGATAAATTTGTGCTTGGACAGATTTATTGTGTTTGGCTTGGTGCTATTAAAATGAATTTATACTCCAGATGTGGAATCAATATTCACTCAGGCATAGTTCATATGGTACTTATAAGCTTCGTACACACCAAGCTAGCAGTACACAATGAACTTAATGAAACTAAAGGCAATATTTACATTTAACGCTTGTAAGAAATCATATTGGCATGATAACCTAAACTGTAAGTGAGCGAAGACAATAATTCTCTACAAATTTAATTTTCTCTAAGTGTCACCTAATTGAATTTAATCATTTTACATCATTTGAATGGGTGCTAAAGATCATTTTATACTATCATAAACTTCTATAATTACACAACCCACTACTGAGGGAATCAGCATCGTTATCACCATTATTTTAAACCTATATTGGTACATAAACGATGAAACATAGTTGGCCAATTTATACCTTCTGTCTAGGCATATCCTACGTCATTGCAGAACAAATCATAATCTTGCCGGTTGTTATTGTTCATTTTAAATTGAACTTATTTTCCTATGGATATATCAACCATAAACATAATTTTACGTATTTACCTTTCTTTCATTCATTTAGATCACAATTGAATTATGTCTCAAATATTTTATGTCCATGAAAATTTCCCCTTTTTGACGTCATGGTCACATTATGACGAAATAATTGAATATAAAGCCGTCTGAAATTATCTATACTATATGATTTTTAATCTTCAAGTACTGGTAGCATACCGTTTAATTAATATTATTGATATCACATTCTCAATGAGATGGAACTAATCCTAACCAATATAGGCTTAGCAACAAATATAACAACTTTTCAAACTTTCAAGTAGTACAAAGGAATAGATTCTTTATATATCCAAAACATCAGGTCTTGTAATATGAGTTAACCGCGTATTTGGAATAAACATAACGTGAGCTCAGCACCCATTCTTCGTTAGGTTTACCTTGATTTAAAATTTTATTCCTCCCCTTTCTGGTATACAGTTTCTATATACATGCACCTACAGTAAAGTTAGTGTTTATTCAATTTCTAGTTTAATTTTATGGAATTAAATTAATAAGTATTGCTAAATTTCAATTTCATATTCATTAGTAAAACTAGATCATTCTGTTATTATTATGTGAGGTGTCGAACTAATCGTGCGTTGGCATTAAGTTTATCAATTTTTGCAACAAATTTCAGACAATTAGATCGGCTGAGGCTTTCTCAGTCTTTAAAACTGTGATTGAATTGCAATAAGGACAGAGAACTATTGCTCAATTTACTTTTTCCAGGAAAATCTTCTTCTTTGTTTTTTATGAAAGAACATTGATGTCATTAAAACTCTAAAGGCTGAAACAACAACCGCACTTTAAAGGAACAAGAAATTTGTGCGTGACTTTTAGCTTTGTGTGCATTATTACTTTCATCATCACTTTATGAAATGATAGTGTAAAGAAATCAAACCCAGTAGATCCATTACGGTATCTAGATTAATCAGCTAAAATGCTGTATAGTAAGACCCTTAGTAAATCTTAAGAATGGTAACAATCTGTCACTTTTATTCCTTAATATCGATTCTAGCACTACCAAGCCAGGATAATGATTTCACATCTATCTTACTCTACTGATCTTTTTCTTGTCATAACAATCAATGGTGGTTAATTACCGTCAATTTTACTCTTTAACTTCCATTAGAGCTATAAAATATTCAGAAGTTGATTCTGTCTATCTATAATATTGTCATACATTCGCGGTTAAGGGATAATTTATCTTCAGATGTGCTTTAGTAATTGCTAACTCATTATATTTTGATACATCATCCAATCTTCCCTAGACAGCAACTCGATATCCTACTGACTAGATAATATCCAAATGTTCTTAGAAATTATCCATTGTCCAATAAGTCAAGTTTCATTCTGTAACTGTAAGCAAAGTCGCTATGTTTGTATATAGAAGATTGCCGTAGTTAAAATAATGAAAATGTTTTACTGTATGTGGTCCTATGTCGAGAAATATCGATTGTTAACGAATTTACCCTTCTCCTAGATGGTGTTCAGATCGCTTTAAAGCCGTAAATTTGCCTATATAAGATTTTTCGTTCATTTTCCCAATTGATTATTGCTCTATAATTTCGTCTGATAATAAATTTGCACATGCTGAAATCTTATAGCATCTCAAGTAACTTAATCTTTGAGTGATATGAAGCTATTAATAAATGGTATTAAGAACTAAAATGTGCAGGAAATTAGCTGTAATAGCTATGTACATTACGTACAGACAATTACTTTGATAGACCAATAAAGGTAGCTCTGTATCAGAGTATTTTATAAACGTTAGAAAATACGCGCATAAGTGAGATTTATTGACTTAATCGATATATCAAGATGCAATATACAAATAAAGTAAAGGAGTATTTACTGGCATTGATTACTGAACTTTTTCGGTTCTAAATGATATATACAGCGAAATAAATCCAACTTTCATTCCGAAATAAATAAAAAAAAAACAGTATAGATTGCAATTTTGATACACCTTAGCAATTATCCTATCCCATCAGAACTGCAGCATAGAAACTAATCACAAACTGTATGTCTCAATTTGTAATGATCAATATAATTGTTCGAATATACTGTACGTTTCAGAAATTAATTTATAAATAAGAGAATACGCATTAGTAAATACCAATTAAAATTTTTTCGACTTTAAATAGATGCTGCCATAGTTTAAATTCATCTTCATCTGCAATACTATCGTACTGATAGAAATTGTATAAAATGAATGAATAATTATTCTTTTATGTCAAAGTCATCATATCACCAGATTAATTTCAATTTAGTGGTTATTTGTATAGCAGTTATTCAATAATTGGTATTCCCTGAACTGTCATCCTATAAAACGATATTGTAAAATTAATATACTGTAACATAGCTTAGCTGTTGGTTGTTTTCGTAGAAATTAAAAGCAATATAAAATAGCTTAACAAATGATTATAATGTGTTTCAGCTTTAGATACTAGCTCCATAGTAAATTATTAGTTGAACAATATCAGTAAGTTGGTGGTTAGTAACGTACGCATATAATATCCACATCGTCTAAAACCTATCACTTATTCACTTTACACTATTATCTAAATTTTACATAATTAGTCGAAAATTACTGGATATTAATTTAGCTATTATTATTATGCAATATTTTTACTTTCATTATTACCTCTTTGATCATGGTCTAGCACAATATTCTTTACAAAGTACTCCATTAAGTAATGATAAACAACAGCCTTCCTACGATAGGGATTGTTGTGTATAATATCAACGGAAGAGAGTATGATGCCTATGAGATGGGTGCTAACTGCATTCTGAGTGAGTGATTTACGTCATCATTTTTTATAACAATCTGCTAATTGTAGCAGTGTAAATTAGATAAATACCACAAGTTAATTATAGTTATTAGAATAGTTTTGGTCTTTTTAATAATATGAAGTGATAATTAATTTGTGACCTTCAATTTTCAGTAAATATGGTTAGGGATAGGATCTTCTTAGGATAATAAATAGGGTTATTAAGGATTAGAAGATAAATGACAAGACTTAGAATTCTGATATCGGCTTATGCTAATACCTATAATCAAAACGAGAATAAATATTAGTCACATTATATGCGCCTATTTGTTATAATATATGCATTCATTGTATAGTAAGCAATCATTTAAGTAATTATCGTCAGTCAATTTGTAAATATTCCAATGTTTAGCATAGCAGCTGCCACATCCTATCAATTCACTTGAGGTACGTAGGAGTTAACTGCAAAATAAAGGTTTGTAATAAATATCTATGCAATTCGAGATGATATGATCAAACTATCAAATCGAGTATCGTTGCTGATATTTAGCATGACATGATAGAAAGAATATAGGGATGATATTACTTAATGGATGTTTTCGGTGAGATTCTCATAATGGATAATAGGTTAAGTTGGCAGGTGGTGATTCTATGGCATGAATGTTTTCCTAAACATGTGATCCTCATGTAGATTGAATTAGTGTTAAATATGTAGAAAATAATGAAGAAAAATGATTAATACAATATGATGATTACCTTATGATCTTCCTGCAATATTTACAATTTCTATTCAATTATATAATAAAATCAGCTGCAATTACAATATAATGTACTCAATTTTAAATTTATTATCATCAAGACCAGTGTGGTAGCATTAGATTGAAATTACCCGAATGTTATTATGCGATGAGATTGATCCCTTTAATTTAGACATAATTCAAGGCGATCTAATCTTTAAAATGATCTTATCTTTTATGTGATAGTTATTATTAATGAATATAGAACTGCACTTGATTGAGACATAATTCAAGCTTATTTAACCTTTGAAATTGATCTCACCTTTCATGCGATAGTTATTGTTATTGATGATTATGAAAACAAACTTAATTGAGATATAGATCAAGGCTATCCAACCTTTGAAAGTAATCTTATCTTTCATATGATAATCATTAATCATGAATATGAAACTGCAAATGAATTAAAATTACCAGAATGTTATTGTGAGATAAGATTGATCTCTTGATTGAGACGTAGTTCAAGCCTATCTAACATTAGACAATCTTCTATTTTTCGTATGATAGTTATTGATATCGAATATGAAATTGTGCTCTATTAAGACATATTTCAAGCTTCCTTAATCCTTAAAATTGATCTCATCTTTCATGTGACAGTTATTACTAATGAATATGAAACTTTAAGATAAACTGAAATTAGCGGAATACTATTACGCGATAAGATTAATTTTTTTGATTGAGACATAGTTCAAGCCTATTTAACTATTAAAAATGATCTTATCTTTTATGTGATAGTTATTATTAATGGATATGAAACTGTACGCGATTGAGGCATAATTAAAGCTTATTGAAACTCTGAAATTAATTTCATCTTTCATACGCTAGTAAATATTAATGAATATGAAACTATAGGATGAATTGAAATTACTAGAATACCATTATGCTATAAGAATGATCTCTTTGACAGAGACATTAATTCAAGACTATTTAACTCTTAAAAACAATCTTATTTTTCATACGATAGTTATTATTAATGAATATGAAACTTTAAGATCAATTAGATCGAGACAGTATTCAATCTTATTAATTCTTGGATATATATCCCGTTTTCATCTAATCATTTTTAGCGGATATAGACTACATGATTTCTATTTAATTAATTGTTATTGATAATCTGATGCCAACTAAAGCTCATTTATGATTACATGTGATCACTGATTAGCATGGACCTATAGACATACATGAGTAGTTGGATTCATTTATTGTAACATGACTGGAAAATCTCATTAAGACACTGTTAATTGATTCACTAAAGATAAGCTAATTGATCATCATTTACTTCTTTCTATAATAGAATCTATTGATTTATATTATATTGCATTCAATATTGTTTTAAAGGCAAAAGAATTCTTAATGACGAAAGAAATGAGATGTTTATTTAATACCTGAAATAGTTGTAAGGGCTAGGGTTAGGGTTGTATTTTAAATCAAAGACCTTGATAATTTCTAGACATAACAAGCTATTTTGAAAACATAGTTGCAGCTACTTTAGGTAATAAGAGAATCATAGTTGTATCCTTTCCATGAATGTACTTGAGTTACTTAAGTACATTACTAAGATGACAAAGCGATAGACAAGTTCAATAATACGAATTTTCAACTCAGAGAAAGAATTGTTCCACTTGAGTGTATTTTGATTCTTCTCAGAAACGACCTACCCGTCTAAAAGACAATACAATTGTTATCATCAATTCGCAAAACATGAACACCTTTCTTGTTGATATATCGGAACTATATCGTAGGGTTATAACTTTGCAAAGTTTCTTATGCTTTGTATTCTGAATGATTTAGGTATCTGTAATTTAGAATTAGCTTGCTGTTCTAGCAATGATTCCTGATTACAGATTATACTGTTTAGATAGAAGCCTAAGCTACAGAATTACGATTACTGATACCTCTGATTCCATTGAGGTTTTAATTAACTGATATTCATGATTTCATTGACAGCAACTTACTGTTGTTATAACCGGATGGAAATAATACATTGGGCTACGCCTATTCAGAACATATTGTGGCCTTAAGCAAAGTTGTGACTTAATGACCGTTATTGTCATGAAAAGCTTTATCAGCTTTGTCTTGAATAAATAAGAAAATTAATATTTTACCCTTCATAGTTATTTCCGATAAACAAGTGGATGAATTGAAAATAATTTAGAAAAATTGTGACAAGGTAAAGAAATGATCGAAATTCAATTAATTTTATGTAAGATCGAAATAGCAAAGGATTAAATTCCCTTTATGAAAATCAAATTAAAATCTCCTGTAAAATCTTTAATCATGTTCATACACTAGAGCATTGATAGAATAGATTAATAACGTCTACTGTTGATTCTCAATTAGGTAAGACTGATTCTAGCGAAAACATAATGGAGAATACGAATTATTATCGATAGAAATTTCAATTCAATGAATTTTATAATAAAAATAAGTACGTAAAGGAAAATATTCATCTATTTTATAAATACGGTTGATATAGGATCTAATTAAGCAGGATCAAAACCCCAAAGTACTTGGATGAATGTGCTATTATGATATAGATTATAATTGCTTACCTACCACAATGTTCTCTTCATATGTTGTGATTATTATCCTATCGAATTACGTAGTCCAAGTTGAATGATCGCTACACTTAATAAGACAACGGGAGGATAGAAAAGATGAGTAAATATGTCTGCCTGTAGTTGAAATGGGGTTGTCATAACATACGGCAATAACATTCAAAGTATCAATACCTACCTTGTAAATGCTTCAAAAAAAACTGCAATTATCATAGCACATCTGCTATAGGATGAAATTAAACAAGGAGCACACAGTAATTGCATTTTTCTACAGATATTCAAGATTTGATGCAGAAAGGATTAGACAAAACCATTGTTAAAATCGTTGGCTATAATCAATAATAAAAGACTTAAAGTCCATAAAACAATAATCCACCTATCGTCATCACAGCATAATAAACTTTACTTTTCATTCTTCTACATTTTACATGTCCTCATTATAACTAAAACCGTTAAATACGTCTTGCAAGTGATAAAGTGATCATATTATTTGCAACATTAGTGAAAGTCACCAGCTAGAAAGTCAATCTTATTATATATCCTATCAGAAATTCTGTATACATTCCAGCTGTTTTTTCCAGCAATTTTTTTCAAATTCGTCTTGGTCTAGCACGTTGCGAATTTGTTCATTTTACCCAAAGTAGGTTTATATCGCATCCAAAATCGTTATTATCATTATGACTTTGCATTAGTATTTACTATTTATTCATTGCATTTTTTGATTAACTTATTTCCATTTGTCATATTAGATAGCTAGCAAAGTATCTGGCGGCTTAAATTATAAATTAAGTGCACTAATTAACTTTCAATTGGTAAGAGAGAGCAATAGATAGCTTATTACTAATTTAATCCGATTTAATCTTTTAATTAAATGTCAGCACAGCAATCACATCTATTAATGTTTGGAGATAAATAAGATGATAGCATTTTCCTTTAATAGAAATAATAAACTATTATAAAATTTAATATAATTTACTAATCATTTTTACCGGAATAGTTTCTCTTCTTCAATTTCGTGTTGGCTCAAAGTATTCCAAATCTCGATTGGAAATATGTCGTTGCTACCTACTCAAACTCAGATAGACAGTATGGCTAAAGCCTCTACATTTATCGTAGCGATCATGCTGGTCTGTGGACTTGTCGCTAATGGTGTCCTGATTTTCTACATGATTAATAAGTTGAGAAAGAAAGTTATCGTTTACGACATGCAAATCTTAAGTTTGTCTATATCGGATTTTGCCTTCATGACCTTAAGGTAAAATTCATTCCAATGTATTCTTGATCATTAAATCCAGTCATTATAACCTTTAATTGAATGATATACCAGATATTTTAAATTATCATACTTCAGTGACATTTAAGAATAAACGATTTTAGTGTTCCCATTGTTTCCTATATTATATTCTGCTTTTGAAACTAAATAATTTTCAATTGTTATTACCTTATAATGATCTTTCTTATGATGGCCTTAAATACCTTTGATACGGTGTCGTTGACTCCCTATTATTGGGTCTATGTAATGTTTTGCCAATTATTTACATTTCATTAACTAGTCTTAGCTTTAAATACTGCAGAAAATCTTAATAATGAGTATAAGTAGGCATTATAAGACAGCTTAATGTATTTATGGTAAAATGTCTTGTTGCTATAGCATGGGCAATCATGATTAGAATAGTTGTAAATTTCTTCAATTTGAAACCAGCCATGACACCTACGACGAATGAAAAAATACCTTGTACCTTTACCGATGGATTATCAAGTGTAGTGTCATTATATTAATAAGCCCCTGCGCTAGGGCCAAAGTAAATTATTCATGATGATTTTTATTATTAATAACGAAAACTTAATTAACAATATTAATGGCAGTATGCTGTATAGTTTTCATGCTTTCTCCATCATACCTTTCATATCGATTATAGTAAGTTAAAAGTTACTTTCTAAATTCCTTCTCGTATGGCCTCTGTTTATCTTTTTTTGCATTTAAATCTTCATATTGATAACAGATTATACAAATAAATGATAGAGGATTTCTCTTTTATTCTAATATACCTCTTACATTTACTGGAATTAATTCAATTTTATATATTTTTCTATAGTGCAACTGGCGTTTTACGGGTTACGGATAAAATCAATCAACGCTCTTCAGTATATCAAAATGGTACCTTTACATGCCGATTAATTTTTGGGATACTACTCTATTTAACGCTGGTCAATATGTTAGTTATGGCGTCCATTGCTATTTATCGCTACGTTACTGTTCTCTATCCTAGGATTAGCAAGAAATATTTGACTGTTAGTGCCACGTTATTGGCGTTAATAATCAATTGGCTGTTACCTTCTGTTTTTATCGTTCCGCCTGTTGTTGGTGTTTGGGGTAGTTTCGTATACGATAATTTAACTAGTTCTTGCACATTAGAACTGATACCTCTAGGAGGAGACGAAGAACATCATTCGAGCTACTCTCTCTTTCTCATTTTGTTCGGTATGACGGTTCCTACTACCATTATGGCTGCTTGTTATATTGCTATTGGCTTGCGTCTTCGCCAAACATCGAAGCGTCTTAAAGGCCATGCGAAAAATGAATCATCTAATGGTACTGGGACATCTGCTGGAACAGATTCTACGGTATTTTCAAGCCAAAATAGCGAACATAGCGCAAACGACACTATACCTACTATTAGCATCGCTTCTACCAATGGCCAATATTTAACTGTTAATCCACCACCATCCTATAAAGCGGGTAGGAAAGGTGTTACAGCTACTAAACATCAACAAATCAACCCTGGCAATTCAAACGCAGTCAAAAAGGAAAGAAAAATCACTAAAATATTTGGTATTATTGTCGTTGTATATATCATTTCTTATTTCCCCTACTGTACAATCTGTTTAGCTACTATTCTATTTAACGTGCAAGTTTCTCCTTTAGTGTTTTATAGTACAATTTTCTTTACTTATATTAGCAGTATCAGCAATCCATTTGTATTCCTTGCTCATAATAATAAATTTAAGGCACGTTTAAACAAGATATTCAGTAAAAACACTCGTAGATTAATACATAATCGCATTTCCATACGACGATCTATCAATCGCGTTATACGTATACGAGAATTTGCTCATTGATTAAATCGATACTCTCTTATGTTGTCCTCACTATTAACAATATTAGAGCAGGAGACAGTACCTTTCTTCTAAATAGTTATTATTTTGCTGGGCTTCTCCATTTGAGAAGGTGAATTTATTGACGAATGATTGTACACCATAATTCATGTCATTTATTGAGTTATGAATTAGGTTAGATTGTAAGGTACTGATGAATGTTTAAAGCACGTTCGTTAAGGTTTACTCAATTATGGAATGTATTGAAAAATAGTATATTATGCATAGATTAGCGCTGAGTGTGTAACTTTTTGTAGGAAAAATGTACTGTATAAGAGTGATGAATGTAAATGCTGGAGATTCTACGTATATACTGTACTCATTTGCCAAATTGTACAATTAAGACACTATTTTATTTTAAGGAAATTAAGCTTTTGGTATTAACTGTAATTACAATTATCGCTATGGTCTATGTAAGATATATTATTGTAAATATATGACGGAACTATATCCAGTATAAATAAATAAATGACGTCTAATTATAAATACTAGAACCCTTTTAGTTGCTGTCCTTAAGAAAAGATCATTCTTGAATACTTTATTTCAGATTGCGTGCACATTTAATTAATTACACTAGCTATACTTGAATGCTCTACTTATAAAGCTAAGTGAATTCTAAAATTTTTCTCTTTGTGTATTGCAAGTAATGAAGATAGTAAAATTCTAAAATAGCCAACAATTGTTAATGGACCGCTATTTAAAACGGTGCCTATAAAGTCGAACGCTCGATACATTCCTCGCTATTTATTACATGTATCGTATATTATTATCAAGAGAATTTTTATTCTTCTTTGCTCTAATCCATTAACTGCCCTTGCAACTTTATCGGGCTTGATGAAAGTAGGGAACACGATTATGTTACAGTTAAATTTATAAGTCAAAATTTTGCGCCTAACATAACAGCGCATAGGTAAATACAAGGAGTGATAAAAATATACATAATACGAAGGTAATGAAAAAGAACGGTTTAGCACTTTAAACTTCAATAGTGATTCAACTAAATCACAACCAGCTAAGAACGTTCAAAACTACGCTATTTTTGCAGTGAAATTTGAATTCAATTATCACTGGTGTTAAAAAGAGCCCATGTCTTCTTAGCTAGAACCCAGCTCGTATATCTGAAGAAGGGAATTAGACCATTAGGTAAGTTAGATGATAGAGAATTAATAGTGCAGAACTTTATTTTGGTTCAATATCGATTACGATTTTGACTCCTATTTGATGCTATTTTAATTGGTGAAGTTTACCTGTATATAGGCCTCGGAAAGTGTTATAATTTGGGGCAAAATATCTTCTACATGTAAATCTTGTACTTGGTACCACTGTTTCGAACCCTATCGAGAATTTTAATTAATTAGATATACAAATAATGCTAACTAAAAGGTGGTAAGCTGCTAGCGTATGGTCTGAATATACGATGTCTAGCAATTACCCTATGACGCAAATGAACCCGATAAATTCCTTTTCCAGCTCCTGTAATAACGAAATACTATCTTTTAGCTTACGTGAACAATGTACGATGTATGGAAGCGTTGCCGGTAAGCAATAATACCTGGTTGGCCATCATGAATGATATTAGCGACTAAATTGTACGTGGTTACAGGATGAGCATCTTGTACAGCTGGATCCGATGACAAATATTCAGCCATATCTAGTTCGCTTTAAATACATAATTAAACGATAAGATGTACAGCAAGCAGTCTCGGCATAATTAAATATGACGACGACTACAATTTTACTTATATTTAAGTCAAGTATCTTACACGATCGGAAAATTAACAATCGTCGGATTTTTCTCGACAAAGAAATTGTTTCTTGTAAATCTCTAAGCAGTTTTTGCAATAAATCGTAGCAAATACAGTTAATGCTTCTTTAGAGACTATTAATTTTAGTAGATGGCTACTTACTTTTACATATAAGATCAAATAACGAGGTAATCGGATTAATTCAAATCGTTTCATAAAGGTCTCTTTATATGTTTTGTATTCCTAAATTAGTTGCATAAAGTGTGCAGGATTACAAATTACAAAATAGTTTATGCTGCTAATTGATTGTTATGTTACCCTTTCAGAAGTCCCATCAAATTTAGCTAGTAATACAGATAAAGGAACTTGAGGAATAATATTTTCGTTCAGTTCATCCTATATTTAACGTGAACAAATTTTCTTATGACATAATGACGAAAAAAGGTCTAATTAGAAAAGCTGTAATAACCTGATATAATGGTGCGGGAGGCAAGTCCAATGTCAAATACAGAAAAGGTGCTACAGATTGAGTTTCTGTAATGTCAATTTGGATTAAAGACGTCATACATTTAGCAAAATTTAGTGATAATCAATCGCTAAGACATTCGCACTAAGACTTCACCTTTATATTCATCTAGTTCCATTAACTCTAATTTTTGAAGTTCAGGGGTCTAAAGATAGCATATAATAATAACGTACAGACTTAGGGAAAAAATTTTACGACTATTATTCCCTACAACATTTAAATCGGGCCGAGTACAGTCGAGGTTTACAAATACAATACTGTTACCTAGATGGATGGCAACCGTGTTTTTAGCAATAACATAGTCTTACCTCTTCTGGTATTACTTTTCTCTTATAGATACGCATTTGACCGCAAAAAGTCTTATATATTATGCCTTTGTAGAGTAATAAAAGAGGATTCAATTTCAAGCAAACTAATCAATATGACCTATAACTTTCAAAACACGTACTAGATCTCATTTTCTTTGTTCCATTCAAAGACATATGTAAATGATTAAGCATCCAAGACAAGAATGTAATTGGATCGCCTATAAGATATAAGTCAATTTTAAGAGGTGAGATAGGAAACTATTGATGGCGATGAGAATATCCTAACCTTGTTCGGTAATCTGAAATTGCTTCTTACTGCAGTAAACTACAGCCTAAAAATGTGATAATCAGTAATCAAGTCATTTCATTGACATTACTTTACGCAAAATGAGAATTCAATATTACAAAAAATATCTAATGTCTTCATACCTGTAACATTTCATGGGGACTTATATGTGTTTTAAAGTTGCTAGGGTTCCAAATTTTGCGTATTAGTTCACCGAAACGTTGAACTAAGCGAAATGATGTATCGCCAGGTGGCCGCTTAGTATTTTTGTAATTATTTTCTTGCAGGAAATAATTTCTTAAAGGAACGACATGTGCCAAAGCCTACACAGGGGCGAATAAGACAACAGACAATGCTGGCGTCAGGGTAAGAAAGAAATTTGGGGTCACTGGCAATAACAATCACCAAAACTTACTTGTAAGATAACATTGCAATAATCGTTAGCTTTGATGTTATTTAGTCCAACCATACCTATTTATAATGCATAAACATTGTAGCATTGCAATATTTTAAAACAATTTTTCAATTTCAGGTAAGAGAATGCAGCTTAGTCATGTTGATTTGATATTATTGATTCGGTACGTCTACTCTATGTAAATACCTGGAAGGTAAGTTTTTCCTTCTAAAGTTCTGGATAATTTGGCAATTTTGTCGATAACTTCAATTTGTTCGTTACTAAATGTCGGATCTAATACGTACTGTAGTATGGGAAAAATAGGATATTACTTGAAGTCTGACTAAAAGTACGCGTCTACCTGATTAAATTTCTATGTTTAGTCGAGATCAATGGTATACAGTGTAACTGAATCAATTCCAATTGATTATAGGTAAAATTAGGTTAAGATAGAGTAACACTCTTTACCTTAATGTCGTCCAATGAAGAATCAATAATTTCATAATCATCCGGTAGGCAATAAAACTAAACGTTAAATTACTCAAGTTAGTCGTTTTTTAGCTATATCAGATATAGAATAGAAACATCAATTCCATAATTAACAAGTCACCGAATAACTGAATCAAATTGATTTGTCGATATATTATAGAGAAGTTTTTTCGACAAACCTTCAAGGAGTGTAGATTAATAAAGACATGGTGGAAGCATTGGACGCTGTGAGTATAAGCATGTGAGTGACTTCCTCGACCTATATTGCAATAAATAATATACGCGTATACCTAGAGTTAGACTGTTTACACTAGCAAAAAGTCATTCAACACCTATTCCTATTCTACGGGTTCGATAGTAGACGTATGTCTTAGGCACTGATACCCATGCTGGAAACAGTTTATTGTCAAATCGTCTACTTTTAAAAAATGCTGTACTGTGCTGTAATCAGTTGATGTAAATCATCAGACGACTCAGCTTATGCAATGCTTTCGATATTGAAATGCATGTCAGAGTTTGTTTTGAATGATACCTTGAAAATACTTTCCACAAACAAGGCAAGCATAGACATTCTGATTGGACAATGAAATAGAGCAAAGCTTTTCAAAATCGAAATCTAATACCGACCTGCAAAGATCAAATTGGTTGAGTAAGAATTATAAGCGCAATAGATAAATCAAGATAGCACAGGGTAGATAAAAATGATTCAAATAGGAATTGCAGACAGATACGATTGTAATACTACCAAACTAGGCGCGTGGAATATCCATTTAGAATCATCGACCAGTTGATATCAAAACTAGCCACTATAAAATGGCAGAATGAGTGTAGATACTGTGGTTGGAGTCTCTTTTACAAGTGTACAGTAGTTCTAAGTCATGACCAGTGGAGCTCTTTGTATGGCTGTATCGAATTACGACGGCACAAGTGCAGAGCACTACTGTCATCTTATTATTTAATGCATCAAGCTGTAGTCAGCGTCTCTCTTTTACTGAATGATCCTCAAGCTGCAGTCAGTGTCAACTCTTGTCTAGCTGTATTTGATCACGACAGCACAAGCCCAAAGCATTCCTCTTTATCGACCAAACTCAGGTCTCTCAATACCTCTCTCATTTTAGGGTGTCGAAGCTGCTAGTATTCTACCTTGCTAGCTTCGATAAGAAAGGCCCGAAATGGACCTAAAGAGAACACGACTTACAAGCATCCTACAGTACGAGTAGACTATCCTAGCATTTAATCGCATAGTATCTTATCCAATTATTTTATTAACATCACGAGCATGCTAAAATCAAACCTTCTAGTAAGTCTTTGTTTACATTATTTGGACATGTTCTGGATCAAAATTACTGTATTCAAATTATTAAGGCTTGATCAGGTAGAAATACTCATGGAGAAGTAGAGTTACTGTTCAAAAGGTCGACCAATACTATACATCCTATACTGTACTTTATTTCATATTGGTAATTCTTTGCTGTTGAGTTATTCAATCGATTGCAATTCTGCTTGCTACTCAAATGATGTCCAATCCTATCTTGTAGGCAAGGTAAAGTAAATCAATCATGCCTAACGATTGCTACAGCACAATACAGGATAAGAACGAAAAGAATATCGATGTGCTGATTGTGCTGTTCAACTGCATTACGCTATCTGAGCTATTTCTTTCTACTTCATCCTGGGATTATCATCTGTAGCCAGATATTGGCCAATATTGACTATCATCGCAAGTTGTCAATAACTGAGACAGATACAAGACTTGAAGCATTTCATCACCTTGACATTGAATGATTTACTCACCGATTGATTGTATCCAAGTAGGGACAATTTCGACTTCGTTCATCGTTATCCACTGATATTTGCCAAATCAAGGACAAACATATTCAATCAATGAAAGACAACTTCATAAGGTGTATATTGAAATGGATTGCTATCAGTACCTTTTTTTCTTTTACTGAGTACTTTTACTTCTTCCAATTCAGTGAAATCCTCACTACGCTTCATGATGGCGCCTTGACGATTGGCAACGACTGCAGCAGGTCTGATGACTGATGGGTCAGTTGTCTTCCTAACGTCTCCAGTATGTTGCACGATCTGGAGTGTGTGGTATCGTATCGTACATCGTGCGCAGGCTCTGTTCACTCATGTTGATGTGAACTCAATACAGTATCGCCGATCTCGAGTTTGAGGTGCAATACAGTACAGTGTACTGTATTGCATCTACAGTACATGGTACGGTACGGACTAGGGTCTTCCTTTACAGTGTTTATCTAGTAGTCTACAGTGTACAGTGTACAATATACAGAATGTACTGTACTACAGTACTGTACAGTACTGTACAGTATACTGTGTACTGTACAGTACATACCGTAT